GACCTAAATGAGTCTCCATTTCGGTTATTAACTACCAACAAACAAGGTTCCAAGTTGTTGAAGATTCCAACCAACATCAGTTTAAACAAACTGGTAACTGAAGGTTCTTTGAGCTGAATTTATTCTAACAGCGTTTTGGTAAAAATAAGGTTGTCCAATTCTTCTTCAAGAATCACTTTTTCTTACAGTATCTTATCTCATAATTGGAGTATCATAGAATTCGAGTTACTTACATTCGTTCATAGTAAAATCTAGCCTAGTTTACTCATAGAACAATATTATTTGTCACTATCCCATTAACTTTTGTTGCTAATTTGATATCTAAATGTAATGAAAACTTGTATTCGTTCATTTTCATATGGATACGAATGAATATAAAATGAAACGAATACAAAAATAGGTAAAACGGCACCCCGTCGTTTAAAACAATAGCATGTCGTTTTGGGTCAAAATGTCTCTATTTCAATCCAAACTAGTCGATCATATCACGAAACAACTTATAAGGCTTATACAAGTTAATTAAGCTAATTTGTTGAGTATCTTGTCTCATAATTAGAATATAATCGAATTGAGTTACTTACCTTAGTTCGTAGTTAAGTTTAATGTAGTTTACTCACGAAACAATAGCACTGATCATTATTACATGAATTTCGTATCGATACTGGTGTCCAAATATAATGAAAACTTACATTCACTCATTTTCATGTAGATACAAGTGAAAATAAAATGAAACGGATATAAAATTAGTTGAAACGACACACAATCATTTAAAATGATAGCATGCCATTTTGAGTTATGGAGTCTTGATTTCACTCTAAATATGGTGAAAACTTGTCTATGTTAATTTTCGTGTGAACACGAGAGAATAAATGAAACGAAAACGAAATTAGTTAAAACATTATTGAACCGTTCATAAGAACAACATGCCGTTTTAGGTCACCAACTCTCAATTTCACTCCAAATATAGTTAAAACTTATTTTATTTAATTCTCAAGTGGATACCAGTGAACATAAAGTGATACGAACACGAAATTAGTTAAAATGTCATTCAGTCGTTTAAAAAGGTAGCATGCTCTTTTGTTGTTGGTTTTAAATTAGGTATGAAAAGTGAAAATAAAATTAAGGATTTATGTTTGGAGAATTTGGTAATTCTGATTTTAAATTGGACATTTTAGACATTTCAAATTAAGGGCATTTAAGATGTTAACATATGATAAAAGGGTAATTATATTACCACCATAAAATTTACTTAGTACACCACATTATAATCACACCACAATTAAAATATATTTTGACTTTCAGATGTTATATCTTTGTCTTTCTTAGTGGTGATATATCCCTTTACGCACTTTAGCAGATCTATATCCATCTTTTGTATGGCCACAGAATTTTCATAAACGCAAGAAGATGGGTTTTCGTGAAACTCACACTTGCCTGGTCTTACATCTTTTGGCTTCCCCCATGAAACCTCTCTGAAACGTACGAACTTTGGAGACAAATTCTCCCCAAGTCATGTTATCTGGACAGACTATACAACTTCTTAGCATTAGGACGAATGGTAGGTTTGTGTTTAGATTCATTAGTGAGCACTCAAGACACAAGATGTCATGTACATAAAACAAGCATACGTGCGTCTTGCTAATGTTTGTGCCATATTATCGTTGTTATTGGTAACAAATACATCACTTTCGTCACACACTATAAAATCTAATGCAACCTTAATCTTGAGGGATTGCTCAATTGGTCAGGCCTTGAGTTTGCTCCCTAATGGTTACCAGTTCGAGTCTCCTCAGGGCCACTAAGGTGAGTATCCGATCGTAAATTTCAGGACCTCGTGGGATTAGTCGATGTGCGCGCAAGTTGACCCGAACACCCACGATTATATAAAAAAAATCTAGTGCAGCCACAAAAGGAAGAAAAAGGTTCCAACTATCACTTTCTGGATATAGTATCGTTTGAATGGAAGTTAGAAAATTAGGTTTATTATTGTAGTAGAGCAATAATTTATTTTACTGAAAAGTATATTAAAATTCTAATTATGTAATTTTACTTGACGTTATTTAAGCAAATACGAAAAATATTAAAACTCGTGGTATAGATAATAAAATTTTGTAGTGGTAATATAATTATGCATGATAAAAGAGAGTAAAGCTATTTTACCAAGCATTATTGAGTGTAGGCATAGCCTATTTTATGAAAGACTAGTGTGGCAAACGTGCGTTGCACGTTAATTGGATGATGTTAAAAATAAGTGTGTAACAAAATAAAGAATAAGTTTCGATATACAAATTATATTTACAAACTCGACATACAAATAGAAACCAATTTGAGGATTGTTATCAAATGCAATCAATTCACATGGCTTATGTTTAAAAAAATATCTAGTAGCTTGATTCAACTTTGAGAATAAGAAAAATTGTATTTGACATGGAACATTAATCTAATATGACAAAATTGTTCACTAATTCGAAAAGGAAAATGACATTAACTATCAGCTCAACAGTGAATATGTATTTGAGAAGAGGAAAAATTGTATTTGAGAAATTTTTGCAAATTGAGTAAAACGCCAAAACGGATGAATATCAGCTCAAGGGATGACAATAACTATAATTAGTACAATGACATTAAAGTACACATGGGCAGCGCCGTTGTGGGGTTCGGGGGCAATGCCTCCGGCGGTGATCGACGTGACCGAGGGGGCAGCGCCCCCGAAAGGAATTTTGATTTTCGTGTATATAATGAAGTTGTATTTTCTCAACAATTTACAGTTGTAATATAATCCAATTATAGAAAGAAAGAAAAAAATTCTACACCCTCTTCAATTAACCCATCTTATTTTTTCTCTCTCTCCATAACCTAATTGTTTTGAGACAATTTTAGAAAATGTATCTAATTGTAAAAAAATAAAAAAATTTGTCTTCGTGCGTGCGCACGGAGACACATGCTCTGTCTCCGTGCCCTCTCACAGAGATGTGTCGTGTCTCCGTACGAGCGCATAGAGACACGGCCTTGTGTCTCCGTGCGCAAGCACAGAGACACGTTCTTGTGCCTCTGTGCAGCGTACGGAGACACAACCTTGTACTGTGTCTGTGTCTCCGTGCGCGTGCACGGAGACACATTCTCATGTCTCCGTGCCGAGTACAAAGACACGGCCTTGGAACGGAGACACATTCTCATGTCTCCTTTCACGCACGGAGACATGGGTCATTCTCACTTTATTCTCATGCCTCCGTGCGACATTCTCGTGTCTCCATTTTTGTGACTTTAGGGACACCCCAACTTTGCATCACTACATGACACTCTTCACTAATTGAAACAATCAAAACTTTAGTCAACTACAATTTTGATAAACAGAGAAAGACAACTTAAAGTAGAGATGAAAAGAAAAAAAATTGACAAAAAAAAAAATTGAAAAAACTTGAAAACTAAATACAAACTTGAATAAATAGATACCAGTGGAATATATATTAAAATTAATCACCATTGCAAGGAGCAGTNAAAAAAAAAAAATTGTCTCCGTGCGTGCGCACGGAGACACATGCTCTGTCTCCGTGCCCTCTCACAGAGATGTGCTGTGTCTCCGTACGAGCACATAGAGACACGGCCTTATGTCTCCGTGCGCGAGCACAGAGATACGTTCTTGTGCCTCCGTGCAGCGTATGGAGACACAACCTTGTACTGTGTCTGTGTCTCTGTGCGCGTGCACGGAGACACGTTCTCATGTCTCTGTGCCGCGTACAGAGACACGGCCTTGGAACGGAGACACATTCTCGTGTCTCCTTTCACGGCACGGAGACATGGGTCATTCCTACTTTATTCTCATGCCTCCGTGCGACATTCTCGTGTCTCCATTTTTGTGACTTTAGGGACACCCCAACTTTGCATCACTACATGACGCTCTTCACTAATTGAAACAATCAAAACTTTAGTCAGCTACAATTTTGATAAACAGAGAAAGACAACTTAAAGTAGAGATAAAAAGAAAAAAAATTGACAAGAAAAAAATTGAAAAAACTTGAAAACTAAATACAAACTTGAATAAATAGATACCAGTGGAATATATATTAAAATTAATCACCATTTCAAGGAGCAGTAGCAGGATTATTGAAGTACCTTCGGCCTATGGTAACTTTAACTGCCTGAGCAAGCTCTTCAACATCCTTGAGCATCATAGCTCTGGCCTCCACTCCAAATCTAATGTGCACAGTTTCTGCTCCAACCCAAATATTACCAATCTGCATCAAAACACTATACTAGCACTCATAAACTACGGAATTTATTATGTGAAAACATTAAATTTATCCATAGAAGGTCAAACATGCCCGTAAAATTCAATTCCAACAATCGCCAATTAAATTAACTAAAAATCCAAAAATACGTAGTTAAATTGAGTTTAAGAATGACAATAGATTCATTGTAATAGAAACTACATTCACAGGAAAAAATTAAAAACTATTGAAAAAAAAATTGGCATTGAAATACTTTATTTCAATCACTATTTTGAGCAATCACTTTCTCAATCTCAGACGCTAGATAACAAAAACTTCGAATCCTGCAAAAATAAGGTTGGTTGACAAAATTAGAGGAGAGAAGAATGGAGAAAAAAAACGGAAACATAACAACCCGTAACTCAAAAATATAATCCAAACCTGAGGTGTATTCCATGGGATGTTGCGTGGGAAAATAGAGAAGGACTAGTTGGTTGCGTGAGATAATGGAGAAGTAGATGGCAGTGCGAGAATTTTTGACGAAATTTAAGGGAAATTTTTTTTTTTTAAATGAGAATTTTTGACGACACTGGAAAATGGAGACACGTGTGACCCTCACTTTGCCTCATTGTTGACTAAGCAAATTCCCTTCGTGCCTTTTGTGTATAGGACCCCTAAATGCCCTTTCCCTGAAATCGCATCGTTTGTAATTGCATTTCTCAAGAAGAGCAGAATCGAGCACATCAATACGTCGTCGTTTAACTGAAACCAGTCGGTTGATCAGGTTCCGCTATGTCGATGGTGCCCTCCACTGCGGCCGCCTCCGTATCATCATCCTCCCAGTATACATACGCCGCACCCACGGCCTCCGCCCCCTATTTTCCGACGCCATTCCATCTCCAACAAGCTCCGGCGCCTGTCCCGTACATAGGCGCCGCTCCTCCACCATCTGTCCCGTCGATGGCGCTACCCGTGTATCCTGCTCCCCCTACCGTTTACACGTTACCTCAATACCAGCAGGCAAGTTTACTTTTATGTTGTGCTGAATGTTAGCGTTTTAATGGATATCCTTGAATTTTAGGGTTTACGTTTATTTGTGGAATTCACGGGTGGAGCTGTAATGTCTATATATATATATATATATATATATATAGACATTTGAATTAGGCTATGGTGAATGCTTTGATTTATATTTATGAAGTTCAATTGAAATACGCAATCCCCCTACCTTGTACTGGTTGCCTTAATTGCAGCAGTCAATATTACTTTTATGTTTTTGAAATTTGGCATTTTAATGGATATTCGGCATTTCTAGGGTTTACCTTTAATTATGAAATTCATTGACTGGGTTGTATTGTTATAATTTTGTATTGAATTCATCGGTGGTGGCATTACTCACCTATCCCGCTCCCTGCACTGTTTACTCATTGCCTCAATATCGCAAATTAGTTTTATGTTTTCGGAAGTTAGCATTTAAATGGGTATTCAGGAATTCAAGGGGTTACATTTATTTATGGAGTTCATCCGTGGGGTTGAAACATCTTACCTTTTTGCACGCTTCTGAAAAGTACGCCTAGGCTTTGTTTACGCGTAATGCTTGTCTCTGTTGTCTAGTCACCTACATAGGCTCATAAAAGCTTGAAGATTTTGAATTAGATTATGCTGAATGTTTTTGATTTGTATTTTGAAATCAGATTTACACACTTGAGCATTGATAATCATTACATTTTGGCACGTCTTGAGACTTTGTTTAAATGTTGTATTGAACAACTTGATTGGTTGCGTTCTTTTGATTATTTTTGCTAATGGATTTTCTACAAGATGGAAAGAAAATAAGCTCTTCAAATGGTTTCTTGGAAAAGTAAATTGATTTGTACATTTGTTGTCATTTTTCATCACTCTCTAGTTCTGATGGGGAATGTGGATATTGACAGGCCCAGCAGTTGTTTCAGAGAGATGCGCAAACCATAACTCCAGAAGCTCTTGAGAGTGTGAAAGCTGCGCTTGCAAGCAGCGAGATCGAGCACAAAGCAGAGACTAAAAAGAAGGCAATTCCGCGGAAAGCTGCAGGGCAATCCTGGGAGGATCCTACTCTTGCAGAATGGCCTGAGAGTATGATTCTGTCTCCCTCTCCATATATTTATTCTTTTCTTTTCCCCACTTGGTAGACAAGCTTAAAATCTTAAATATTAACTACTCCTTGGCTATGTTGTAGGATCTATTTATTTATTTTGTTTCTTTCGGAACATTATGCAAGAAACTGTTGCTATGGAGATTGCTTAGGGCAAATTAGAATAATTGGTTGACCTAGAATATAGATTCAGGGAATCAGGATCCGTAAGCTCTATGGTAAGGGAAAGATTTCAGTTCCCGTTCAGGATCTCATGCTATCCCTTTACCTCCAGGATCCATGGAAAAAGTCGAGGCCTATTTCCGCTCTAAAGGAGCTAATAATACATTATTTGCAATGCAAATCTAGAGATGATTAAAGTAAAATTATTGTTAGTCTTCAACAGTAATTCATGTTGGAAATTTGGTAATTGTAATTATAAGAGTGGCCCTTGAGTATTATTGGTCTTGCTCATGCTGAATCCTTGATTTGACCATTAGTCTTATTGCTCAGATGTGGGGTTAATCGTGTGCTCAAGTTAATCTCAGTAAGCTTTAGAGATGCTATGCTGTGTGTGGTATAGGCATGAACTTGGTATGACAATGTTGATTTTTAGTCAGGTTTATAGATATATGGTTGATAGTCAGTCATTCACTTGAAACTTTTCTTGTTGAACTTATCTGATATGTGTAAACCTGTGACATGGACTAACTCATGGCTGCTGAATACCCCCATCCTACTGTGTATAGTTGCCAGTTCTAGTCTTTACTTATCACTTGGAGCCCATTATACATCTTTTTCCCTTTACTTGCGTTTATCAATTTGCATCTTGATTTTTTCCTATTTCCTATTATGCTAATCTAGGTGGTTCTATCGAGCAGCTAATCTAGTATGAAGCAACTCTTATTTCTTGATATGTTGCATCTTGCAGATGACTATCGTCTGTTTTGTGGTGATCTTGGAAATGAGGTGAATGATGATGTTCTATCAAAAGCATTTGCAAGATTTCCTTACTTTAATATGGCCAGAGTAAGTTATTTCTGAATTAGTTTGGTGTCTTTTATTTGTGTTTACGTAATGTCTTTTGAATGATATACATGAGCATTTGCATGTCCTCTTCAGATGTTAATTTGAAGTGCATGGAGCTCTCAATTGACTCATATTCATTAAGGTAGAATTTTTTTTGGTCTATATCAATTAATAACATCTTTGAATGGGAAAAACTAGGTGCAGTAAATTATTGAATGCATGCTTTTACTATCTGAAAGTTAGCACCGTAAAAACTATACATTTCTTCATGGGGCTAAAGGCCATGACATTTTGGGTCTTGATACTTTCTGCCTCATCTCACAAGTTGTGATTTTCTTGCCACAAAAGAACTGTTTTGTCCCCAATTTCTTGTCTAAGCATCTTATGGTACAATGACTGTAAATTGATGATAATACTAATCGCATATAATTCTTCCTGCAAATGTTTGATTATGGACTTTTGGCTTGATATCTGGAAAACAAGTGAGCAAAAACATTTTTCTAAATTATATGAATGATACACGACAGTTGATAGCTTTCCTGATTGTAGACTGGTTTAAATTTAAATTTGGTCTGGATATGGTGTTGTTAGTTAGCTTCCAAACACGGAGTTGCTGAACTTTTTACCTTCTATAAGTGGGCCTTTTTAAAACGTTTTGCATCTTTATGTCATTTCAGATGGGTTATTTGCAATCATATGACCATGAGTTTAGTTGCAAGACCATGATCCTGGCTTCTCTTAAACAATCTCTTGTAAATCTTTGTTCGTTGACTTAATCTTTAATTTTTCCTCGATCTGGTTTCAAACTTTCAAATGAATCTGTAGTAAGGAATGAGGCCTTGTAAACATGTACAGGTGTATGCATATCTTATATTTGTTATAATTTATCAAGAAGGCGGGATTGATCATTTTCGTATTAAGGCATCTTTAAAAGTTATATTTGAATTTCCTTTGAAGTCCATTCCGGTACATTTCCTTCCCATCTATTACAAATTATTCCAATTTCAAAGGAAAATGTCGTCAACAAACAAAGCAAATATTAAAAACTTTTCATGGAAAAAAATAAAAAAATAAATTCAAAAACTGCAGGTCCTTCAACAGGAATGAGGGGGCCTTCCAAATTTTGGCGGAAGAACGAGCTAGAGAACCGGGAAATAAATATATTCTTTTGAATGGATTTTGCTTCCTTATTCTTGTATTTTGCGAGTGCATTTGTTTAAGCTTCCTGGCTGCATTAGTTCTTACTTCACTTCACTGGTGTATCGACAACTTGTACCGTTTAAAAATATTATTACCTTGAGAAAAATGGTGGGGGGTTTGAGTAGTGGAATGTTACAGATTTCTCTTACACCTGAAGATTATTTTGTAGTCTGTGGGTCCTAGAAAAATATATCCCTGACTATGTTAACCTAGAAGATAGTAAAAACATATCTTCCTGAATGTATAGTACTGCATACAACTAGACAGATGGGTAAATACAAGATAATAGAAATTGTCCGATTTGTCTTGCTGCCTAAAGATTAACTTTTATGCTAACATATCACTGTATATGGTGATATAGAAGATAGTCAAAAATATTTACCTGAATGTGTAGAGTACTGGAAAAAAGAAAAAGAAAAGATGAATGAATGAATAAATAGAAGGAGTTTTATAAGCTTGATGAGTGCAGATGCCGCCAAATTGGTTGTCATGTTTTTAACTGAGGTGAATTTACTCCCCCTCCACCGCATTGTCTTTTTCGTCATATCCGTCTTCTTATTCTTACAATTTGAGGTTTTGCTTGTCTTTTGCTTCTCTAGTTACTGAATCTTTTGCATTTTGGAAAGGATGTGTATTGCCTCAATTATGCTTTCTAAGAACAGCAATCAATTAACGTGGACTTAATATCTTGGACCAGGTTGTAAGAGATAAGCGGACGGGCAAAACCAAGGGCTATGGATTTGTTAGTTTTTCCAACCCTTCAGACCTTGCAGCAGCACTTAAAGAAATGAATGGTAATTGGTTTTTGCACTCGGATTCTTATGTGGTCCTTTTCTGCTTGTATCACTCTTTGTTGCATTATTTCTTTCTTCTGTTGTTTTTAGTCTAAAGGACTCTTAACAAGGGGCAACCACTAAACCCCTTTCTCCATCTAACTCGACTTGTTAGAACTTAAACAAATTGGCAACTATTGGTGTCCTTTGTCCATTGTCTTCAATTAGTTTGTTAAAAGGACAAACCCTTACATTATAATCTGCAACATTTCCAGCTTTCATCACCTAGATGGCTGGTTGGGGATGCTTAACCTCACACAGCCTGGTCACCTAGAATTCAATTCTTATGCTTTTATCATACTTATCTAGGGTCTTTGTAGTTCCTTGTCCATTTTGTGCTATTAAGGGCCATAATCTGAAAATCCATGTGCATGCATGCAGAAACTAACAAAGATTTATGCTAGGTTTAAGTCTATTGAAATCAACCACCCTCCTTTATTTGGTTTTGGACCAGCTATGTTAATTAACAAAGTAAAAGAGTATTTAGTTTCATACCAAAGTGCTTAAATTACAGGACTTTAATTATGATTATGATTTATCCTTACAAAGGGAAAATAGAATCGAATGAATTGGAATTCGACTTGAACTTTTAAAGATGTACATAATATTTTAATGTCAGGGAAATACGTTGGAAATCGACCGATCAAACTTCGTAAGAGCACCTGGAGGGAGAGGACCGATGCTGACGCCTTGGAAAGACAAAAGGTGAATTTTCTTTCTTATCGCTCCGTGTTGTGCATGTGTTTGTAGATCTAATGATTGTCGCTAAGATCACCGTTCTCCTGTTTGATTTTATACTCTTTGGCAGTACCAGTCTCAGAAGAAGATGAAGCTGCCAAAAAAGAGTGTGTTGCACAAATGACTGACCATTCAATAGCAATGTTGATCAGGGTGAGTCAATGGAAACAAAACTTAAACTTTTGCTTGGGTTTGTGTGTGATGGTGGTTATCTTTGACATTACATTAGTTGATAGGTTCCTCCTGATGGATTTCCTTTGTTTCAAAGGTGGGAAAATTATTTTAAAAACTGGTGGAAAAAAATTGAACATTTTAGTCATTTGTTTCATCAGAAATTATGGATAGATGAAAGCTACTTTCTGAAAATCAAGAGCTACACGGTGGGTTTTTTTCATACTGCAAATTCAGTTCATTCTAAGCATATTATCTGTCGAAAAGCTAAAATACTGTTAGTTTTAGCATAAAGAAAATATTTGTCGAAGTTAATTTTGGAATCCTTGCATCTGAACTAATGAGAGTCCTATTCATATGGGAGCAGTATATTGGTTTTTTTGGATAATCCTTGCATACAGATAAACTAAAGTCTCTGTCCTATAATTTCTTTTTTTGCCTCCAACAAGTCCGTGTTGACTTTCTCACCCGGTCAGGTTACAAAATTGTTGTAATTTATAATTTGCAATGATAAAATTGGCCCCCTAATCTCAATTTGTGCAGACTTCTTCTGTTTTTACTGATTCCATTCCAAAGTGAGATTTCAGAGTGTCCATTCTGCTCCCATGATAATGGGCACTTGGATCAAGAGTTTTACATATATAAAGAAACAAAATTCTAGCCGTTCTATAAAAATTTCATTTCATCATGCGTATTATATCCCTGCTTTAATGAGATGTCAACAACGTCTCGTCGATGAAGATTTCACCTTTTACCAATTGCCTTTTTCTTAGTTGCTTACAGGTTTTATATTTTTCTTTCTCCTTTGCAGGTCATGAAGTGAGGCCAATTTGAAGATTTGATTCTGTATTGAATATTAATACGTTGCATTTGCTTTTGTGTGCACAAATTCATGAATTTAGTTATGAAGGAATTGAAGGGTGAAATATATTGCAGCATAAGAAGATGAGATACTCTCGGTATGGTTGTTTCAATCTCAGTTAATTCTCAAGGAGCTCAACCTCCAGAATCCGAAATGTCAGTGAGTTGACATGGTAGGGATAAGTATGATTTTCCAAAAATGAATAAGGACTCGTTTGACATGGTTTTTGCTTTTGCTTCTTGTATAAAAGCCTTCGAAGAAAACTAACTTAATTTTTGTTTGGAAACTAATTTTTAAAAAAGCTTCCTATTTCGAAAGTGTTTTTTGGAGAAGTCACGTTGGATCGGCATTGTTTGAAGAACTATGCTACTTGTACAATGAATTTGACAATAAATTTGACAATGTGTGAGTTGGCAGGTATTATGTGCATTGATTTGAAAGATTGTTTTTGAAATCAATGGCAATGGTCTATACATCTCACACATTGCAAATTCATTGTACAAATAGTTTAATTCTTGTTTAAAAGCTCTTCTAACCAGAAGAAGCACTTTTAAGCCAAATGGATTCAAAAGTAGTTTTTGGATCTCAAAAGCTCTTTTTAACATTTTAAAAGTCGTCAAACTGCCTCTAAGGCCTTGTGAGCTGCTCCGGAGAATTAGTATTTGGGAAGATTACATATTCAAGAGTATAAGTTTAGTCTATTTCAAAAATAAGAATACAAGTTTAAAGTTACCAAAATCAGATTTTTTAAAATTTTTTTTAAATTTTTATTTATAAAATAATAAATTATTAAATTAATTTATTATTAAATATTTAATTATAATATAATATAATTAACACATCCCACTTTCATCACGTCTACTGCTCCGGCGACCGTTTCGATCACTGCCCTACTCCGGCGAACTTTTCGACGACCGTTTCGGCGACTACTCCGATTCCAGCGATCATTCCGGCGTCGATTTTTTCGACGACTGCTCAGCTATATTTTTTTGTACAGTTAACATATTTTTTTTACGGTCACAGTCCATGTCACAAGTCACAGCTCAGGTCACAAGTCACAGTCCATATCACAAGTCCTAACTCAGGTTATAAGTCACAAGTTAAGAGTCACAACCCAGATCACAAGTTACAAATCAAGTCACAGGCCAGGTCACAAGTCATAAATCAAGTCACATGCCGGGTCACAAGTCACAACGCAGACCCAACATTAACCGGCGCTGCTAATCGAAGTCGCCATCTTCTAATCTGTGCAACACCACCACCCACGACACACTACCACCACCACAGCAAAATTACTACTTCCATAACCAAGCTGATCTAGTTATCGAAAACCTCCAAATTAGATCCCGCCACCATCTACAATTAGATCCCACACACCACCACAGATTCGCACCGCCACC